TCAAAACTGATGCATCAAAAATCTGAATCAATGGGGGCCTTCAGGGCTTTGGATTTTCAGTTGACAAACCCTCTGTGAAGTGTAGCTGAAGAGGCCCTGAGGGGCACCCATGGTTTTCTGCCAACCACACAATTTGTGGATTTGCTTTGTGTGGCTAGGTTGATACATACATTGCAATACAAACCTAGTCTGCATCTTATCCTGCCCAGTCATAAATACATAGTCGTATTTCCAAACCACAGGCAAAATTCAGCTAAATAAAGTTCAGAGGAAGCATCTGTAAGTCTCATGGAAGTCTCTGAGTTAAATTCACTAGTGATATAGTTTCATAGTTTCTAGGGTCGGAAGGGACCTGAGCAGATCATCTAGTCTGACCCCCTGCCATGGCAGGAAGAGCACTGGGGTCAAACGACCCCAGTAAGGTGGTCATCCAACCTCCTCTTAAAAACCCCCAGGGTGGGAGCCTGCACCACCTCACATGGAAGCTGGTTCCAGACCCTAGCCGCCCTGACCGTGAAGTAGCGCCTCCTGATGTCCAACTTAAACCTTCCCTCCGCCAGCTTGTGACCGTTGTTCCTGGTCACTCCTTGTGGTGCTCGGGGGAACAGGGACTCCCCCAGTGCCTGCTGACCCCCCTAATCAGTTTATAACAGGCCACAAGATCCCCCCTCAGCCTTCTCTTTTGAAGGCTGAACAGGTTCAGGTCCCGCAACCTTTCCTTATAGGACCTACCCTGCTGTCCCTTGATCATACGAGTGGCCCTCCTCTGGACCCTCTCGATGCTGTCCACATCCCTCTCAAAGTGCGGCGCCCAGAACTGGATGCAGTACTCCAGCTGCGGTCTGACCAGTGGGGTGTAGGTTTATATCACTATATAAATGATAATGGGGTGTAGGTTGTAGCCATGTTGGTCTAAGGACATAGGCAGACAGGGTTCTTTGGGTGAATCAGATATCTTTTATTAGATCAACTTAAATTGTTGGAAAAAAATGTTTAGCAGGCTTTCGGGTTTAAAAACTCTTTTTCAGTGTGAGGAAGCCTCTGCAGTTGGTGTGTGTTCTTTCTGGATGGAATGAATAGCAAAGAAGCCAGAGGCTGGGCTAGTATGCATGCAAGACACGTGGTCAGTGAAGATGTAAAATGCCACCTCACCAATCTTAAAAAGGCTTTCACCCAACA